AAAAAAGGGGAAAAAAAAAAAAAAAAAAAAGAAAAAACGGCTCGTTGACGAGCCTGTTCAGTGACCAGAACGGTCACCGAACTTTTTTTTTCTCCCCCCCCCCCATTTTTTTTACTATAAATACCTCATTTCCCCAAAAAAAAATTTCATATCAATTTCTTCCAATATTACAACTCTCTCAACTCTCTTTTATTATATCAATTATCAAGTTTTTACTCTCTTGTGCTGCAAAATATACAATATCAATTCAATTTTTCCAGTTTATTAGTTATAATTTCAATTCATCCAATTCTCAATTCTCACAATCTCACTACATTTATATTCATCTAGTCAAGATTTCATCATAAACAATCACAAAAATGAATTAACGTTCATTTGTTGAGAGCTTGTTCGATACAGGATGTGAGCCATTGCCACATCATGGAGAATCGCCTAGTACGCCGCAAAGTCAATTTCCAAATGAATTTGCCGGTCTAAATGACATATCGATACCTGAAGATGTTCACATTCACGGTCAGGGAAGCCACATTCCAATTGATTTGGATGATATTAACGTTCTGGAAGCGGAACATGAAGATGAAGATCAGCAATTAAATATCCCAGATGCGAAGGGAAAGCGAAAGGCCAAAAAAAAAAAAGCAAAATGCTGGGATCACTTTAAGTTGATTTCAACGGAAAAAGTCGTTGATGGCCTTGCAGAATCTAAAACAGTATGCAAATACTGCCAACAAAGATTGGCATGGCAAAAAGGAATTGGTACCACTCATCTCAATCGCCACTACAAATCATGTGCAACCAGACTTGGACTTCTTCCAACTGGTCAAACACAATTACAATTTAGCAGTCCAGGCATCGGTTTACAACTTCACCCCTATCCACGTAGGTGTATTCGGAGGACGAGACTCGAACTGGAATGGTGAAATTTGTTGCCGCCACTGAGTTATCTTTGGCTATTGCAGACAACCAACACTTCGTCTCGTTCGTGAAAGAATATCTACAACCGAGGTACATTGGGGTAAGTCGAAACACTCTTCGTGCCGATAAAATAAATTATTTCAATAATTCAAAACAACAATTAATTATGGATTTGCAACAATATGGGGGTATTATATCCTTAGCTTCTGATATATGAGAAATGGTTAATAAAAGAGCATATATAGCTGCAACCGCACACTATATAGACCCACTTTGGTGCATGCATAAGAAAATTATTACTTTTAGAATTATTGAATTTCCTCACAATGCTAATAATATATATAATGCTATTATCAGTATTGTTAGAAAATATCATTGTGAGAGTAAAATTTGATCTTTTACTTTTGATAATGCTAGCGTTAATAAGGTAGTCGTCGATAAATTGTGTAGGACACTCCAACTTGATTTTGGTGGGTATGTGTTTCATATTCGTTGTGTGTGTCATATCTTGAATTTAATTGTGCAAGATAGTTTAAAACATATAAAGGATGAACTTCAAAGGATTAGGAATGCATTAATTTATATTACGATCTCTCCTAATAGAAAACAAGCATTTGAAGATTTTTGTGCCGAACTAGGGGTGATGACTGCTAAAACATTTGTTAACAACGTAAGTCATAGATGGAACTTTACATACCTGCTATTAAAATCATGTGAAGGTTTCAAAAATTTAATAACTGATTTTTATAATAATAGACATGTTAGAAGTGATGATGATGATATGTTAAATGAATCCGATTGGATTTTATCTTTGAAAGTTAAACGATTTTTGACATCTTTTTATGAGACCACAAAGATTTTATCCGGCATTTATTATCCCACAAGTTGTATGGTGCTTGAACGCCTTTATATAATTGCAAGAACATTCCATAAATATAAAAATGATCCTGCTTTTAGTGAAATTTTAATTGCTATGGAATTAAAGTTTAGAAAATATTGGGAAGAACTGCCTATGTTATTTCCTTTAGTATGCGCAATGGACCCCCGATATAATATTTCGGGAACTAAATACGTAATTGATCAAATCAATAAAATTTTAATACTTGATACACCTATCACCTATAAGAATTTAGAGCAAACATTATATGGAATGTATGATTTATATGCGGAAAGAATGGGTTCAAATGTTAGTCGGGTACCCTCTGCTGCACCTACTCCTTCTGTTGAAACTGAAGAAGATGCTGCGGAAATAATGAATTTATTTCAGAGCATTAATACATTTAGATATGATGCATCTGCAATGTGTTCATCTAGTGCCATGTCGTCTACATCTGCATCTCATCAAACATCAGCCGAAACTCAAAATGCGATGCCTGTCGAATTAATTAATTATTTCAATCATAATATGCCAACAGACAGAACAATTAAAAAAATTTAATAAGAAGTAATTTAATTCTGGCGAAAGTATGAAAGACGTTGGCCAATTGTTTCTGCAATTGCGAAAGATCTATTGACACTTCCGGTTAGCACTGTTGCTTCGAAATCTGTTTTTAGTGCAAGTAAAAGGGTTTTGACTGATATAAGGAGCCGACTGAAAGAAGATGTTTTGGAAGCGTTAATGTGTGTGAAGGATTGGCAGGACGCTCATTTTCGACTACAAGATAAATACGCTGAAATTGCATGTCGTCAGGTAAGTGATATTTGATTTAATTATATTAATCAATTTTTTTTTTATTTTTCAATCGTTAAATTTAATTTTCTTTAAAAATTATACACGTTACAACAAGTTGTTCGTGTACAATTTTTAACTCCGCCTACTTAAAATTGATGTAGCCGGTCCCAAATCCGGATAAAGGAGGAGGGTTTACATTTTATTAATTTTAAAAAGAAATCAAAAAATATATTTTTTATAAATGTATTTCAAAAAATAATTCGTTTTCATTATATAAATATTTTATACTTTATAAAAAGTATTACAAATTACAATATGATATAAATAAAAAAAATAAAAACTTGTTCGCGTTAAATTATTTGTATTTTTTAGCATTTTTTATTTTTAAAACTCTGTTCTTTATTAACTTTAAAAAGAAATCAAAAAAATATTTTTTGTAAATGTATTTTAAAAAATATTTCGTTTTCATTATAAATGTTTTATACCTTGTAAAAAGTATTACAAATTACAATATGATATAAATAAAAAAATAAAAATTTATTTTCGTTAAATTATTTGTATTTTTTAACACTTTTTATTTTTAAAACTCTATTCTTTATTAACTTTAAAAAGAAATCAAAAAAAATATTTTTTGTAAATGTATTTTAAAAAATAATTCGTTTTCATTATATAAATATTTTATACCTTGTAAAAAGTATTACAAATTACAATATGATATAAATAAAAAAATAAAAATTTGTTTTCGTTAAATTATTTGTATTTTTTAACACTTTTTATTTTTAAAACTCTATTCTTTATTTTATATATAAAATAAATAATCGAGCCCACGAGCCGAAGCTCGACTCGGCCCACGAGCTCGTGGATCGAGCCGAGCTCGCCCAATTTCAACGAGCCGAGCCCGAGCTCGGCTCGTTAAAAACGAACATGAGCTGAGCTTGTGGCACTGGCTCGGCCCATTGTCAACCCTAAGAGCATCTATTTCATGAATTATAATTTAGGTGACATCCAAAAAAAAAAAAAAAAAAAATTCTATTTTCGTAATATTTTTGTCTAATAAATAGAAAACCTAATTCAAATTTCATTTTTAATAGATAATGTATAATAATTCAAAATTTTAATCTTTAATAGAAAATCTAAGCCAAAATGAAAGCATAAAAACATGAGAGAGGAAGAGGAGAAACATTAAATGATCTTTCATTTAACATATTGTCTAACACCATATAAATTAAACCAAATAACATTATTATTGATTTTTAAGTGATCTTTTTAATCAGTGGGTGTGTCGATATATGATGTCACATCAGCAACGAAGATATGCTGTAACAACACTAAATCTCTATTTAGTAGGGATTAAAATTTGAATTTTCATCTAAATCAAAATTAATTAATTAATATTTTATTTTATTTTTTTTATAAAAGTTCACTAAAAATCTAATTTTAATTTTGATCAAAGTATGGCTGTGTAGTCACACTCCCAAGTGGCCATGATCTTCATTGTGAGTGAGCCACATTGTGCTTGGACAATTTTAATCAACATTACATCGCCAATTGCATTTGATTCCAACTCTATTTCATCAATTCAAGTGCCTTTATGAAGATTGCGTAAAGCAAGAACAACTTGCTGTTGTCTTCTCTCTGGACCTGAAAAAGCACCTTACTCGTTCTAAATTGAGGTAGAAATATCCTTATTTCTTCTTCTTTTTTTTTTTTCCAATTATTATTATTTTCTTACTTCACTGATGATATCCGTGTCTATGGGGAAGTTATTGTTAATTTTTTTTTTTGCGGATTTGCATGATTTGATACTTACGGGATCAATTTCATCGATTTTACTGAATGAAAGGGATTTAGTTTTGATTGCTGGCAAGTTAATTGAGCCCCAATTTTGATCGTTGACCATTTTTTGTCAAGAGAATTTATGTTTGCTTATACTCACATAAAAGGTAAAGTTTTTCTTTTCGTGACAATTTTGAGGTAAATTATTGTTCCAGAAATTTGAAGTAAACTTTTCTTCTTTCTTGGTTTTACTTCTTACTTATATGAAAACTTAATGTATTGCGCTGTTGGCGTGTTGCTTTATATTATGTTAGTTTCTACATATTTGGGACGTAGCTGCTTGTGGAGTTTTGACTGATCTCACAAAATTATATAATTATGTGCACCATCAAATCGGTAGGCTCATGCTTATGTAAATTGGGCGGTGAGTTGAAGCTGATATATAGTATATCGTTCTTATTCTTTGAGCTTTGCTGTAGAGTTGGGTCTGGAGTCATGCATAAGTAGTAAAGATTTTGGATTAAACCGTGGCTTCTAGTTTTTTATTTTTATTTTTTTGTTGTTGTTGGAGGTTTTATTACAATCACTCAATGGAATGGACTTATATGATAGTGGGAGTGCAAAGCTGATGAAATAAATTGATAAGATTAAAAAATGTTAGAAGTCAAAGTGATGATGATATAAAAATTATCCTTTTTGCCTATGGTATAGTCTGATTTTCTATGAATAGGATGCCTGACTAAGGCAATGTGCTTGCTAAATGTTGGTGATCATGAAATTGTACTGAAGCAGGCATGTAGAATTGTTTATTTCAGCCCAGGTTTTTGAAGTTCAACAGTACTTTCTATATCATAGTGAAGTCGCAGTATTTTATTTCATTTAATTGTCCTGTGCATAATTTCTTTTATTATTATGTCGGTAATAACAATCTTGCAACTGTTATATGCTGCTTTCAGATTGTGTCTTTCCAGTTCCAATTGTGTTTTGTAGATTTCGTGTTTGGCATCATAGTCGAGGTTTGAAATTGGAAGTGATAGAAAGGTGTATATAAATATGAAATTCATTTTTATTTTTAAATAATGTACTTCAATGTGAATAGTAAGGCAAGATGTAACTGCATGTTAGCTTTTAATTTCCACTTAAAGGCTTAGATCCTCCCTTTGTAGTTATTCATCTTGTAGGTTCTGTCTTTCTCTAATTTCTCTATAGAGTTATGTGATATAACACTAATTGCATTTTCCTATATGATCTCCATTCATTCTTTTGCATGTATATATTTAAGTCAATTCTAAATTGTTGATATATCTCTCTCTTTATTTCTATTACGTCCTTTCATGATTTGGGCTGAAAGAAATCACTTTTGGCGGCGTGGATACAAGGGTGCTTTTATTTCTATTCATTGTCTGCACATGCTGGTACTCTAATGCTAGAGAGCTGTCGTCTGCCAACCAGTTTACTAGAAAAGATGAGAGTTTTTCAGGTAGTTCTTTGGAATATATTTTCTTTTCTAGTTTTAAGTGCTGGTAAATTTTGGAGTAACAATTTAAAGATCGTGCATTCCACTATGGGAGTAGCAATTTTATGAAAAGTTTGGTCTATTTCTCTCTCTCTGGGGGAACACTGTTACATGGCCTATGCTTCTCACTATAAAAAGGATTAAGCTTGATGAAAACTCCATCTAAGAATTTATTCAAATAGGATTGATTTGCCTATTCAAAAAACATAAACGTTAAAAATAGTCATTTAATTTTCTTTGTGGACTTTTTGACAATAGTCAAATCTCTTCTATTACGTCCTTATAGAGCACCTACATGTTGCTAATTAGCACACCTAGTCCCTCTTCTTACAGAAAATAAATATCATTGGTCCCTATCTTATTGCTGAACTGGGATCTGTTTAAAACTAATATGACTTTATTGATTAGATGAACATAAGTAATTTTAATGCCAAAACACATCAAAAAATAATGTCTGTCTTGTCTAGCAGTCCTGCAGACAAACAACAAGCTGTCAGAGGGAGAAGCTCAACATTTGGATGAAGTTAGCAAGAACAATGAATTGTGTACATTGTGCGAAGATTTCGCTTCTGACGCACTTATTTATCTATCGGAGAACAAAACCCAAACAGAGATCATTAGCATCCTTCACAAATCCTGCTCTAAGATACCTACATTCAAGAAGCAGGTATTTATAAAACTTGGGCTAGAACTTGGTCTGAAGTGATAATTGTTTACCAAAATTTTATGTTGGCATTCTATGCATCCGTTAAATGATTGTGATCATCTGAACTGACCTATCTGAAAATACATTTAGCACTTGAATTAGTCACTGCTACTTGGATTTATCATAACTTGTGAGTATGCCTATATACTTGTGGGTCCAAACTTTAATGTAATGTTCTTTTGCTTTGATCACGTATCTGCATTAACAGTCAATTAGCTGCGTGGATTTGAAAAGCAATCGTGGTATTCAATCTTTGAGGAATGTTGTGACGTTCGTGACAAAATTGTAGGACTATATTTATGTTTTCATTCAAAATTGAAAACAAAAACCAGTTTTATGTATATATTTTGATGGTGAATTTGTCCTTCCACCTGATTGACACCCATTTGTTTACACTAGGGCTAATTCAGTTTTTTTTTTTTCATAGTAACAGTACATGTGATGCAGGAAGAATTAAAGAATAGAAAGAAGAAGCAAGAAGGGAGGGAGAAACCGGAGAGAATGGGGGGAAGAAATCCGGGAAGAAGCAGAAATTTAGGAGGAAGGGAAAGGGAGAAGAAGGAGACGTCACAACCAATCTCACTAATTCATAGTCATCAAAACTAATGAAGTTACATAGGGAATTAGGTTTAAATAGTAAAGAGAAAACCCTAACTAGAATAGGCTTGGGCCAATACAAGCCCAATTACATAAATAAGAATCCAAAACTAAAATAAAGTCCAACTAGAAATAAATGAAATAGATGATGTCGTCATGAACTCTTCCGAGGTGGGAGAAAAACTCGACCCTGTCGAGTTGATAGGTCACTGTAGGCTGCAATCAATTTGAAACTCCAAATGCTTTAAGTCAAGTCTGACAAACCAAGTACCGAAATTCCATGATTGAAAGTACTAAAAACTGTAGCTTATTCCCAAGAATATGATCTGGCCAAGGGGAAGGTCTTTCCTTCTATCCAAGTACTGATACTGAACTTCAAATAACCAATACTCATGCACCTCATCGTCAAAATTTTCACATAATTGTATATAATGAGGAGTATGAGAAGCACGTCGATCTACCCAACAAACAAGGAACTAATGAATTTTGCCATCATTGGTCAATACAATACGTTAATCTAAAATAGCATCAATTTTATCCTTGTGTGCTGTGACAGATATTATTAAAGTAAAAATATCAACATAGTCAAGTTAGGGGTTCACAAAGCTAAATAAAAAAGGGTCATCAAAGGAATTAAAATGGTGTTTGTAAGTAATGAAGTCCTCAATATTTAGTAGAGTGGTAGCCAAAATGTGATAAGAGGTCAATGACATATGTATTTGGACCAACATGCTTTAAAATTTTAAAAGGATCAGCACTACAAACTTGCAATATAACATAATTCCCAATATTAAATTTAAAATTTCACATATGTAAATCAGATTGAAGTTTATATAATGCATTACTTGCTTCAAATGATTTATTGATCTCAATATGGAAGTCATGAAGATGATATACAAATGCTCTGGCTGACAACGACACACTAACATGCGGGGACATGGGAATAAGATCTAACAGTCTCTTAGACTTATAATCAGGAACAACTTCAAAATGACTTAGGCCTATAGAGCAATTCATAGAACTGTTATATGCAATTTAAACAGTTGGGAGGATCAAATTCCAAGCAGGATTACGCAAATCATCAGTACCTTTGTGTTGAATAAAGGTACGATACATAACACTTGACTGAGAGGTATCGAAAACAAGAGGTACAACACCTAGAGTCATAGGAAAAGTTTGGATACTACCTAATGAGGTGTCCTCATTATCATCCAAGTCATCAAAATCTTCAAGTGTAGTTTCATAGACTAGATCTTTTAATGACTCATCTATTACATTCTTTTGTTCTTCCATGTTTAAGGCTCGGTTAGAACATTTGGAAGAGACGTAGCCAAAGTCCTTACAGTTGACGTACAACAAGTGAGAAGAAGTCCTTGGATTTTCAGAAATTTTACCCTTATTTTCCGACAGAGGACGAGCATTAAATGGGGGAGGTCTGAGAAGGGACTTGATAGGAGGAGGTGGCGTCGATGAGATGAAAGGACGATTGTCACTACACGTTCGATACGGTGAAGATAGTCTTGTGATATCATGAACTTTACACTTAATTTCCAAAATGGAAGGAATATTATATGGGAAAGGCTCACTGATAGACTTATGACGAGATGATAAGATGGGTGAACGATGGTGACCACGCTTTCCATATGGAGTACAATAAGTAACTCGTAGTCCCGAGCTAACGAGTAAGCGTGATCAAATGTAGTGACGCCTCGAAAGAAAAGTTCACACCTTTTAGACCTTGTATAAACCTACTTAAAGTCAGGGCCTCATCCTCAATGACATGACATTTCATTCGAAATTCCTCAAATTGAGCAATATACTCAGTTACTAGCCAATTCCCTTGTGTAAGGGTGTTCCATTAGGTAAAAATTTCATGATCTAAGCAACCATCGAAAGTAGGAGTATCTGACTTAATGTCACTAAAAAAACGTTCCTTATGACGAGGAAGAGACTGGGTACCATGACGACCATGGCCTCGTTCTCGTTCACGACCCTAATCCCTATCTCTACGATCGTGTTGAAAATATTTTTGATCACCTTGTCGACGACGATATTGTCTATTGTGGGACACTTCAGAATTATTAACATTAGTCGAATGAGGAATGTGTTTAAAAATGTTCAAATTAGCAGAGAGGACCTTACTCTCTTCAAGAGTAGCAGTTATCTGGGTTTGGATAGATGCTATTTGTCGGGTGAGTGTATCAAATTGTGAAGAATTCATGTTTAGATATTGAAACCAGAGTGACAAGACGATCGGTCAACACTATGCATGCATTGTATTAGCATCTAAATGACGTGTAATAAAGAGATCAATAAACAATAAGTGCAAGCAATGGAAAATAACTTGAATCATTTTTTATTTTTTTATTTAATTTTAAATATTGGGATTAAATAAATCCAAAACAAGCTAATATTGCTGGTACATGTAAAATAGCAAGGCAATGGTCAAACACTAGTCAAAGTTTCCAATCACGTTCGTAAGTGGAGAATAATGGAAAGTTAATTCGTTCAATAATTCCGATTAAGTGGGGTTTAAGGCTAAAATTATAAAGAGAACAGTAACATAAAAGAATCTAAATGATGTAATTTTAAAATGTAGTAGCGTAAACCAAAGATGGATAAGAACAGTGACTCCCTGTAGTTCGGTTGTGATCTGGAGTATTCTGAGTGGTCTAAACTACCAACGCGTGGGCCCCAAGTATGCTTATGTTCCCTCCTTCATGTCCAGCATTTTTTTAAGCTCCTATTGACTGTAATTTTGCTGGTTATGGTGTATATCGCTAAGACTCAGTTGCTGGCTGTAATCACTTTCCGGATGGATTGGTGGTGGATTAGGTTATTATTTTCAGCCAATGGGAGTTGCCTGTGGCAATGAGCATACGATAGTGGTGGTGATTGGGTTAATTGTGTTGTGCGGATCTCTTTGATTGCTAGTTGACTCCTTTGAGAATTGGGGGTATAAGCAAGATGTGGTAATGATTTTGTTTCTCAATTTCACTCTAGTAGAACTAAGATTGTGTATTTATAGTCGGTTGTGAGTATTGTGTATGTATGTATTTATGGACTGATTGTGGTATTTATGTGC